AGAGAGTGGCCTCGTTTATTATCTGTATACAGCTTTTATAGCAAAAGTAACTTTCCTAGGGTAGGGTTTTTGGGGACCTTGAGGGAGTAGCCCCCTCCTCTCAGGGAACAAATTCCTTGGAGGCAATCTTTCCGAAGTGAGACAAAACAAAGTATAGCAAGCAGAAACTGTTAATAGGATGGCATTCTACTCTGTAGCTTTCAAGGCCATTGGCTGCTTTCTCCTCAGCAGCCAACCTTCCCACACTGCTCACCCAGGCCTGAGAGCCTGCCAGCCTGCCAGCCTGCCAGCTTTCAGGCTTAACCCTTACTGCAGGCCTCTGGCTCCCTACACAACCCCCTTGGCATTGCAAAAAGAAAGAAAGCCACACCCAAGAACCATGGAATCCAGAACAGATATGGTACCAAGAAGGGCTTTAAATTAGAGTTAAATTATAAGAAACGTGTCTCTAATGTCTCATTTTTTCATATCCATTGGCCTGATAGCCTTGAGTTCCCCAATTATTTCACTGAACACATGACTAACAGTGAAAAAAACCCTGTTGTGTTGTTGTAGACAATGGAACCTACAGAGTCTCGTAGACATGTGTCTATGCCTGGCAAACCTGGCAGTCCAGAAGAAAGGCATCTCTGGCGATTATCTAGTGGAATGACATTGGAAGGTAACCATATTGCCTTAACAGCACTAGACACTGATGCTGCCCTACCCCATATGCCCTTGGCCTGCTTCTGAGTTCACCCGCAACTGTGAAGGTCGTTTCCCATCTCAAGCACCTGCATCTCTCAGCTTCTCAGTCTGAAGGCTTACTCCCGCACTGTAGGAGTTTGTTGGAGTTAGCTCAGACATAACCCAGATGCAAGAGAGAATTGTGCCCCCCACAAATTGATGAATAAATAGCCAGCTCTTTGTCTTTCATTGGGGCAATTCTGACACGTGTACTACAAGGTTTCTTAGAAGGTCCCCAGAAAGGCTGAGCCCCAGTTGCCCACAGTGGAAACCCACACATTATCTCACCCCTTATTGGCTTTTCCCTTCCTGATTTTACTTCCTCCCTCCCTCGTGTGGGCTTCTTGGGATCACCTCCCAAATAAACTACTTGCACTCCAGCCCTTGTCTCGAGGCCTGCTTGAGGGGAACGTCAAAAGAAGAGTCTCAGCTACTCCTGGTGAATAATTTCCATGGCATTTTCCTAAGTCGGCACATGTGAGGAAGAGGGGTGGTCAATGTCTGGGCAATCCTGCTCTGGAGGGATTCTGCACCTCTCCCTTTCTTCCATCTCTTCCCTCCTGATTTGTCTCAGACATCACATAAAGTGCAAGATGAGCACTGTATTTTATAATTTTGCAGATCCTGGCTCATGCACAGCTTGGTTCAAACTTCTGCCAAAGACAGTCAATTCATGACAGAAATCAAAGTTCAGTAATATTTCAAAAGGAGACACCAAGTTGTGTCTCACAGTGTTCTGGTGTGTAATGGACTAGGGGGAAGGAGTTGGCTGTGCATCACATCTCAGGTGGGGGACCTGAGATTTCAAGTCACAGGGCAGTGCCCTTGCCAGAACTGCAAGCTCATGTCTGATGTAGACAGAGCCTGTATGCTTTGTTGGTATTCTCACCATGGCTGGCAGCACCTAGCAGGTATTTTTATTCTAATCATGACTGGTCACTAGACTCTCTGAGGCGTCTGATAGAGAGGAAATTAATTGACCTCACAGAAATACAGTGAAAAATAAATCAACATAAAGAGCTTTAAATAAATGTTTATATATATATATATATATATATATATATATATATATATATATATATATATATATATATATATATATATATATATATATATATACAAAACGGCGAAAGCAAATGTTAGGTGACTCAAGGACTTTAATTTCTAATTTGATCAGCAGGTTTAGGTCTGAAAAAGGAGCTAAAAAAGTAATTGCTTGTTTAAATACCATGATATTTTTAATTTTTGAATTATATGAATGTATTGACTACTTAAAAATTAAATCAAATATATGCACAAGAAAGAAAATGAAAGAAGTATCACTACTTTAAAAAGAAAAACACTTTCTTCATAATTACCTTTTCTCCAAACATAGTTGTAGGTATCTTGATTTCTTTTTTTTTTTAAGTGACAATCGAGGATAAAGGAGAAGCTAAAATGACCTGCTTGACTAATAGTTGTATAATATTTAAAATTATTAAAAGGACATTAATAATTAACAAGAAAAATGTAAGGCAAAATATTCTCCCTTTCACAATGAATAGTCTCTTTTTCTCATCACTAAGTTCTGAAGATAAAGTTATGAATTCTTGAGTTTATGTGTGCTTGAATATAACGTGGTTACTTGTTCTCCTTAAATACAGTATCATGCTTTCAGTCTGTATCCTTTCTAATTAGATATATCTTTTAGCCATTAAGAACTTTTCCCCTTCTCTTCTGTTTTAATCTTATCAACTAAGGAATATTTTTCCAAAGACTGAACATATGGAAGAATTTGTACCTCTGGAAACATAAAAATCAAAATATGTTGTAAGAAAGGAAGTTAGTATTTCTAAAATTTTGCAAGACTTAATTTTATTAAAGGTTTAATTTTATTTTTGCATGTAGTATGTTATACTACATACTGTGGACTCTGCAACAAATTACAAGGGCACATGGGTAAAACACTGAGTTCTAAAGCTATATCTGGGTGCTTACCATGGAGAGGTTTTTGTGTAACTGAAAGCTTGGTGTAGCCAGTCTTCCCAAGTGTTGAGAAGATACAAAAGGCATTCATTGTGTTTAAGAATTCAAATAGTTCTCAAAGAGTAGAGTTATTTGTTAACATATCTATCTGGTTCTTTTTAGAACTCCATCAGTGGCGAGAGGTGTTGATGATAAATCCAATAATGGCCGTGAACCCTTTATTGACAGCATCAGGGCAGCAAAGGATCCCACTGGTTCCCTCTTCATTTGAACCTCCAACTGTGGATAGGTATTTCTCACCAACATAATATTCTGGTCAAAGGAGAACATGGATAATTATTAAATTTTTGAATGATGTTAACCCCTGCGTTATTTGTTTGTCTACTATTATTCAGTGAATTGTGGTGCAGTAATTCACATCAAGATACTCTGCTGAGTGTGTACCTTCAACACACTTCCCATCATTGTTCCTCTTTGAGGCCTGCTTGACATACTCACTCAGCAAATAGCTAACGAGCACTTACTATGTGACAGGCATTGTGCATGTGCAAATATTGATATAGTCTGGGAGGGCTTCCATAACAAAATACCACAGACTGGCTGGCTTAAACAACAATAATTTATTTCTCACAGTTCTGGAGGCTGAAAGTCCTAGAACAAGGTGTCGTCAGGGTTGCTTGTGCTGAGACCTACCTCCTTGGCTTGCAGACAGCTGTTTTCTTGCTATGTCCTCACACGACCTTTTTCTCTGTGCATGTGCATTTCTGGTATCTCTTCCCCTTCTTATAAGAACACCAGTCCTGTTGGATTAGGGCCCCACCCTTATGTCCTCATTTGACCTTAATACCCCTTAAAGACCTTATCTCTAAATACAGTCACATNTTAATTCTACTGATCTACCTTCCAAATGTAAAAACTTACCAAATATGAGCAGTTATTTCAAAATTAATTTAATTTGATGACTATAATTCCAGAATTCATGTATCATATATACGACACGTATTCTATTTATAATCGCTCAAATTCATGGTTGGCCAAATTCAAATTGCACTGAGTTTAATGAATGATCATGGTATAGCCAAGTAGAGACTAAAATAGAATTGAACTGGCACCTGGCTACTGACTGTGCACAAAGCCAAAGATTTGGTAAATATCTGCTGATGTGGCAAGGGCTTTAGTTCATGAAGTTCATGTCTTCCTACCACTGTCCTAATCAGTTGAGACAGAATTAGCACTAGTTAAGTCGCTCATGTGCTGTCTGAAGGGGTTTGTTGAGGGTAAGAGTCTGAAGACAAAGATTAAGGAGTCCTCATCCTCCTAACGTGCTGGGCATCCAGGATTAGAGCTCTGGGTCAGAGAAATCCAGCCCGAATGCAAACCTAAGCACCAGTGCACTACCGCATTTGGGATTACCAGACTCGCCCTGCATTTAAAACAGATAGCCCAGTCTGCATTTTGACTCAAGAGCATTTCATCAGCCATACCAAAGTGACCTCGGCTCAAAATTTGTCTACATATTTTTTTAAGTAGAAGAGGATACCCTGAAAATATGAAAGTTAGCATTTAAAGACTCAGGGGTTGATCCTAGGACTCATCATCCCCAAGATGGTGTGTTTACAGACACACAGCTATAGAGCCTGAAGTATCTCCCTGGCTGATAAAGAGAAAGATTTAGTCAATGCCAAATATTTCTTGGAAGTGTCCTGATAGTATTTGATTTAAAATATACTTTGGTTTAGGGCAGTGATACTATTCTGTATGATACTATAATGGTTCACACATGTCATTATACATTTGTCCAAACCCATAGAATGTACAACACTAAGTGTGAACCCTGAGGTAAACTGTGGACTTTTGGTGATAATGATGTGTCCATGTATGTTCATTGATCATAACAAATGTACCCCTCTAGTGCAGGATGTTGATAGTGGGGGAAGGCTATACATTTGTGGGGGAGAAGTATACTCGTACAGCAACTCTCTGTACTGTCTATGCAACTAAATAAAGTCTATAAAAATATATAAAGTTTTATATATATATATATATATATAT